TGGTTTTTGCAATACATGTTAAAGCATAAAATTCCTTAAATACAGATAAATAGAAAGAAGAAAATTTAAAAACTTAATAATACTTGTAAGATCATGGTTAATATTTTTCATCTTTTTTAATATCTACATCGGCACATATATATAACAAAGTGGTATTATATTATTTGGGCTTCCTTGGTGGCTCAGTGGTAAAAAAAAAATACACCTGCCAATATAGGAAATGTGGGTTCAGTCCAGGGATCGGGAAGATCCACTGCAGAAAGAAGAGGCAACCCACTCTACTATTCTTGCCTGAGAAATCCTATGGGCAGAGGACTCTGGCAGGCTACAGTCCATGGGGTTGCAAAAGGGTCAGACACAACTTAGCAACTAAACAACAGTTATTTATGATGTCTTGTAGTCAGTTCTCAGCATATTGAACATTATGTTGTTCTGAACATTAAACACTGTCTACAACATTTAGTAGATACGTCATGTTTATTTGAATTGACTTTCCACTGTAGAACAATCTTCTCTGGGCCCTAGCTTTTGATCCCTTTCTATTCCACAGCATTAACCATTTTTGCTTCTCAAATTTCTGGTGTAAACGGAATTATCTTTAACCCTCTGGGACACATTATCATATCACTCTCTAGAAAGAATGTATAAAAGTGTATTCTCACTGATAGTGTGTACATAAGACTGTTGTTTCCCTAACCTGAACTACACTTGGTAATATTATTTTTAAAACAATCTTTAACTATTTAAAGGGGAAAAAAAAACCTTGATATCTAATTGCTGTTTTATTTTTTGTACTTCTAGAATTGTTGATGCAGCTAAACATTTAAAAATTATGTTCAATGGTCATTTCTTTTTTGTTTTTCCTCTTCATGGCCTGTGCCATTTTTTCTATCAAAGTGCTTATCATTTTGTTATTGTTTTGTATGAAGTCTTAATGTATTAAGTATATTAACTTTTTATTTTTTCCTAGTTTGTTATGATCTAGTTTTACTTAATGAAAGTTTTTTTTTTAATACTATGTAGGAAAACTATCTAACTTCTATTTCTTTCATTGGTATATTGTTAAGAAGGCCTTATCCACTTTATACTTATGCTTTCAAAGTCTTTTTTTTTTTTTTTTATGTAAACTCTAATCTATCTGAAATATATTTGCCTGCTTGGAGGAAAGGATCTATATTTATTTTCAAATATTACTGTTTTCCCAATACCATTAATTTATAATCCTAAATGCTGCTTTTTAATCAGAAATTATCTTTTCAAATAATGAAATATTTTAAATGTCCTTTAGTCATATTGGAGACTTTATAAGTAGAGAATGGGGGAAAAAAAGAGGGCAATAAGATTTGTCCTTATATTATGTAAAGAAAATGACAGGGACTAGGAAGAATAGACAAAAGAGACATTGATGAAGAAATGCTGATAATTGTGTTTATTTGAGAGACTTTAAAAAGCCAAAGGAAGCCTTGCTGGGAAAAAGTAATGTGGTCAGAGGAGCAACTCTTTTATGAGAATAATAGTCAAGGTGGTGAGTGACTAAGGAGAGAGAAAAAAAAAAAACAAGAATTCTAGAGGCTTTGAATGAAAATGGTGGGATTCATGACATAGGCAGAAATCATTAGGAAAAGGAAAAGGGAGGAGTTGATATTAAAGAGCATGACTGATAGGAAGTTGGTGCCTCACCATAGGAAAAGGAAGTAATGTTGAGTTAGAATCCAAAGAGAAAGGCCAAGAGTTCAGTTTTGACCATGCTGTCTTTTAATAGCAAAAATATTTCTGTATATGACCTCATGTGAAGAATCGTTAAATACTGAATATAATTCCTGTATGTAACTTTGATTTTTAAATTTGAAAATCAGAGAGGTGAAAGCAATAGAATACAGTACATGGTGCTGTACTGTGCTTCGTCCTATCCGACTCTTTACAACCCTATGTACTGTAGCCCACCAGGCTCCCCTGTCCATGGGGATTTTCCAGGCAGGGATACTGGCCTGGGTTGCCATACCTTCCTCCAGGGGACCTTCCCAACCCAGTGATCAAACCCAGGTCTCTCGCATTGCAGGCGGATTCCTTACCTACCCACCAGGGAAGCCCTATAAAAATAACTATAGTACAAGGCAAAATATGTTAAGTATGATAAGAGTTATAAGCGAAAAGAGTCAGACTGGAGAGAGATTTTTACCCAGGGGCAAGGTTTTCTTTAATAGTATCTTTTTATTTTGAGTCATTGCACCTCACTCCCATGTACAACTATACTCTGTTATAAGTTTAGGAAAAGATCATCAGATTCCTGTATAAAACTCCAAAATGTCAGACCTGGGAGGGATCCTAGAAGTCAACTCCCGTCATCTCATTCCCTTCCCCCAGTATTATTGTTTATCCTCTTAATGTACAGATACTGTAGATTGGATTACACAGGCTATATCAAGCCACTCTTATTTCAGACACTCAAAAATGAATCCCACTAACTGTATAGCTTCTTCATCCTGGTGAGAATGAAGACAATTTTATTGTAGGTTCTTCAGCTCAGAAAGAAATAGCCCCAGTACTATGCAGATTATAATGATTCAGCAGTTGATAATCTCTGAGAATTTTTATGCTCATATTTTACCACTGAATCTAGAGAATGAAAAAAGAGAAATAGGGAGAATGTCAGCAGAGGGTCAAATACATGGAAAATGATGGAGGAAACAGTCTGTCTTAAACTGGACAGGAGAGTGGTGAAACTGGGACTAGTAGATATAGTGGTAAAATTGCAAAACTACTTAAATATCTGGATGGTGATTTAATCCTTTAGAGAGACATGGGAAGGGATGATTTGCTGAGCAATAAAGATACAACAGGGAGGGACTGAGTGTGAAGCCTGAAATCAAAGTTAAAGTCAGAAGGGAAATTGGGAGGGGAGATAATGTTTTTACTTTCATATATTCCGAGTTAAATGCTAGAGTGATACATCTAGGCTAAGAGATGGTTGGTGATAAGAGAGAGGATGAAGAATAAAAAGGCAGAGGTGGCCCTGGCCTTGTGAGCAAAAGTAACAGCAACACCTCCTGAATCATTGCTGTTACTCTGGGCACCTGTGTTTAATTTGAAGGCCTCCATCCCTCTTACATTATGAGACCTAATGAGATCATGGCTGGAGGTGGTATGACTGAACTTTTTGTGGCTGAGTTATACACATTACTGTTTTATCCCCTAATCTTGGTGATGAAATCATTGTTTCGAATTGAATCAGAGTTTCACTATGGCTGGCATGCAAGTTATTATTCTCAGTACACATTTTCCTCTTTACCAAAAATGGTACTAACAACTTAGGATCCTATTCATCTGTGGAAAACAAAATGGAAAGAATATGAAAATCACTTTAAATCTCCTCTGGAAAATGACTTAGAAAAAAGATGTTAATGTCAGATTTCTAAAATTCCAGATTAAATTGTCACTCTTTAAGTAAATGTTAGATTGAAAAATTATAAATTTTTGACAAAATATATTTTAAGTTTGGGAAAGTGGTTAATTATGATATTTCTAAATGCTGGTTTCCCTCTGTCAGTAAAGATAATAAAAATAATAATGAACAAAGGCCATTGTGGCTTATTTGGCTGAGTGTAGGCTCAAATTTAGGATATTAGTACTCTGACTTCACTAAGGTATTATCTTCCACATATAAAACTGGCACAAATGAATTAAACTCATGGAAAGAGGTGACATTTGTTCTTAACTATTATACTCTTCTCTCTGGTTAGTCTCCTACCCAAGAGCATGAGCATCTCCATTTAGGATGTATGCATGATTTATAAGCATGGATTGAAGAAAATGTCTTTTGGCCTCATGTTTCTGGTTTAGATTCTACTATTTGTTAGAAATGTTGAATTGTTGGAAGTGAAATTCAGTGGATAACAGTGGATGCAGGATCTAGTTCTAGCTCCATCATTGCACTTATCATGATTTTGGAAAACTCCTTTCCTAACACAGTGTCTTACTTTCTTCTATGAAACAAAGCACAGTGCCTTTAGCATAGTAGGCATTCAGCATATATTCATGACATTAAATACAATAATGTATCAGTCAGCACTCTGGTGAAACTAGCACAATTTCAACTTTGGCTAGCTTCTGCACTGAAGAGAATTATATTTATATTAACAAAGCTAAGGGAAGTGTAAGAGTGGACCTAGCTTCAGGAATGGCTGGAATCAAGCACTCGAATACTTTCAAGGCTGTAGCTCCTCCCCTGCATTCTTTCAGATCAGTTAATTCCACTTGACAGGGAATATGGCCAGCATCAGCTCTTATATCTTTATACACCCTTGTGACCAGAAAGGAAAGTATTCCTTTTGCTTACATTTAGATGTAGAAATTCTAAAGCTGAATTCTTCTTGGTTTGGCTGGGATCATGATTCATACCCTTGGACCAATTAATGTGCCCAAAAAAGTGAGTCCTGCAGAAATATGACACAAACATACACCTGCGATTGCATATATGAAAGTTCATTGATGACTTCAGGCGTGGTATACCTTCAAATATGAGATATGTTCTTTTATTAAGACATTTCTGTTTCTTCCCACATTAGCTGTAGAAGCTGGTTTTAGGCGTAAAGGAGGTCAAAGCAAGGGATCTCCATGTTTTCACAGACCTGGCTCAGGACTCTACTCCTACTGCAGAGTTTTCAGCACTCCCATGTCTTCTGAATGGATACCTGGGCCATCTCTGCCCCTAGAAGGACAGTAAAGACTTCTGTCTTATGCAGAGCGTGATGTACAATTCTGGGAATCAGGAAACAAATCCCTTGCTCCTGCAGGATGGTTTTATCACCAAACACTCAACTGAGGGAGAACTGCTCTCAATATAATAATAAAAATGGCTTCTGTTTCTTGTTTGTTGTGTGTCACATGTTGTTAGAAGCTCCTGAGACCCTATGACTATATAGGGTATAGCATATCTTCTCTTGGTCATGTTCAGGGTGATAGCTTGAATTTGTCCATAACGAAGTATCTGTATCACAAAAACTGGCAAATGCAATAGATCAGGACTGTCTCCCTCCCAGGAGGAGCCAGTTTTTAACATTTACCAGCACGTGGCTTGGAGCTTCATATGTACCTTGCTTAATCCTCATGAAAATCTCATGATTGGTAGTTATCCTCATTTTAGAAACTAGTTAACAAAAAAGAAAAAAGGAGAAAAAGAAGTTTAAAAACACATAATGCTTTGCTTGTTTGAACCTGGATTTGCCTTCTGCAAAGCCCATCACTGTACTCTAGAAAGCAGCTAACAGTGGTTTATCTTTTCCTTATGTATATGGAAGAAGTTCTTCTGTTTGTCATTTGTCACATCAACAAACACTGAAATGTTAGCTCTTCTGGGAAGAGGAGGTAGTCCACTGATAACAGTGCTTTCACTCTGCTGAAATCTCTGGCTGCACTGAGGGAATGCTTTTCTGTGTTTCTTTCACTTCTTGCTGCAGGTGGTTCATTGGGGACTGGTTGGAATGTAGCAAGACTTGTGATGGTGGGATGCGCACAAGGGCAGTACTCTGCATCAGGAAGATTGGACCTTCTGAGGAGGAGACACTGGACTACAGTGGTTGTTTAACACACCGGCCTATTGAAAAAGAGCCCTGCAACAACCAGTCGTGTCCACCTCAGTGGGTGGCTTTGGACTGGTCAGAAGTAAGGAAATCTGAGGCTGTATGTTTTGAGATGTCTTAACTATCAATACCAAAGCATTTAATATTAAGGACACCTGAGCGTGTGAGCATCTTAGAACTTAACAAGTAAGGACTGCATAACAGTGAATTTGGCCATGTTATATTTTTTTGCTGCTTGCCAGGAACTAAAGGTTTTGGGGGTCAGGAAACTCAATGAGAAAATAGTAATCAACTTGATTAAAAACAAACCTGAATTGAATTTGAGAGACTATTATAGTGAGTTAAGGTTTATATATATATACATATATATACCTTATGTATATTTTTCTCTTTTTTTTTTCTTTTTCTTTGCTATTATTGAACAGCATTTATAGGCTTAAAATGAGTGATATGTTTATCTTTTTTTCAAAGTAATGTTCAAGCCTAACTATATAACTCTTAGATATGAATTTGTTAATTTATTGTCACATGTTATATTCTATATATATTTTAATTGCTTCTGTGGAAGAAATATGGAGTTGAGGGTTATAACATATCAAAAAGTCAAATTCAGATTTTATCATTACCTCCAGTTACATGATCAGTGAGGAAGAGCTGACTAAGATAATGTTTTTGTGGCATACATGTAAAGAGTCAAATATAATCCCAAAGCCTCAGAGAAACGGTCTTATGAGAAATGAGGTAAGAAGTAGAGTTAATTGACTCTTCATTCTGCATGAGACATACACATATACATATTGTACCATTCTCTACTTTTCCTAAAGAAGAACTGAATCTTTCTCAAGTGTTGTTTAGTGTTAGAAAGGATGAGTATCTGGCTATATAACTAAAGGTCATTTTTCTAAGTTAGCAAAACAGGATGCATTTCCTGCTGGAAACATTGTGGTACTTGCTTTAGGTATTTCCTGTAGACCTCATAAGTTTGTCAAAAAATAAACAAAAATAATTAAACATTGTTCTTTAGGAACCTATGGATGTAACTTTTCTCCCTGTGAATCTTACTACTTGAGTGGCCTTATTTTGTTAGAGGGCTGGGGTTGAAAGAGAGACTGTGTTTAAGATGGTACATGGAAATGGAGATTCTGACCAGTTGTGGTTATCTGTGGAATCTTTGGGAGAAGTTGGGAGTGTTCTCCCAAGTTTCCTGGCCATAGTCCAGCTTCAGTAATTATATTCTGCCTACATAACTTTTATTTGTGTTTCAATCAAATGTAGAGATATTCCCAGTATCATTCACTCAGTGGTTATGGAAAAGGTATGAACTCTTCTGTTACCTACAATGGGCAGATTAACTCCTAAATTCATTTGGAAGATAAAATCCATTGATAAAGAAGAGACATTTTACAGAATTGTACATGTTAGTAGTTGTTTTACTTGCAAGTCAGTGCCCAAAACCCTTGTAGAAATTCATAAATAGTTGTTGATAATGATGGCAACATTGCTACTGGAAAATCATAATGGGGAACCTGATGATTGGCTGCAATGTTTGAAGGATTTTAGGCCAACTCAATAAGTATAATTGGGTGCTTTCTAACCTTATTGGGATAGGGATTAAGGAGAATTCAAAAGAATCTCATAAACTTGGGAAAATAAGGAATATCTATGAAACAACTGGAGAATAACATAAGAGAGTGTTTAACACAATGATGGATTGTAAAAGTGATACAGAAATTCAGAGCTAAGAAGGTCAGAATAGCCTGGAGTAGAATCAGAAGGCTTTTTAGTTGATGAGAGTTGAACTGAATATTGCAGGAGTGTAAAATTTGAAGCAGGGAAGAGAACTGAGAAACTGGAGAAGTATTCTGATAAGAGAAACAACAAAAACACAAAGAATATGTGGTGAAAATAGGGTGGGAGGAAAGGATTTGTTTTAAAGAATAAGTGAAAGATAAGATTGAAAAAGTAGTGATAGGTTAAAGAAAGCTTGAATACAGAACTTTATATCACATCATTCTTCTGCAAAAAGTAGAGAAAAACAGACAAGTTCAAAAACAAAAACTAGAAAAAACTTCTGCCAATCACTAAATCAGCAAAACCTTCTCATGTGCAGACTCACTTCACATTGGTCTGTGGACCTACATTTTTCTGTGTCATTATATTTTTATTTTAACATAAAACACCAAATGTTATCACCTTAAAAAAATAGATTGTGTGAACTACTGTATATTTCCATTTCAAATACCATTTTAAGATTTTCTTCCTAATTCAACCTCATGTCGGTTGTAATTACCCTACTCTTAGCATTTCGATTCTCATTTCTCCAGTCTTATAAGTGACTTGCTCAAATGATTCTATGAGGCTGTTAGGCACTCCTGGAATCTGCCTGAAGAAATATATGTAAGTGAAGGGGACTTCTAATCACATTTCTGCTATCTCTTTAAGATAGCTGAGTCAAAGCTTAGGGGAGAGAAGTAGAGGGCATGGAGTACACATGTTGGGACTATCACCACTCCCCCCACCCCCCAAAAAATTAGTGGGCTATTGTCTCTCAACAGGCAATGCAGGAAAACTGTTCTGGGGTAAGCATGAGTCAGGATATTCTGCCATTACCATCTCAAAGATTCCAGTTGAACATCATCAATACCATCATGTTGACCCTTTGTTCTGGAGGAGAGAGGATTTTTGCCCCATTCAGTCTCTCCTGTGTATTTTCCAAAGGAGAAGGTGTACTCTCACTGTTCTACTTCATTTACCACAAAACCTACCTCTTCTCTAGATGAATTAGAGATAAGTAAAAGTAAATAACATTAAGTGAAAAAATGTTTCAGTAGCTGTGGAGAACAAAGTGAGCACAAGGAGCCTGATCTTCCCAGAGGAACGTAACATCTCCCACTAATGAAAAGAGGGGGTCCCAGCAGAGGAGCAGGCAGTGTTCAGGCTCTTTCACTTTACTTTTGCAAAGATATTTCACACAATAGCTTTCTGACACGCCCGTGAAAACTTTCCTTCTCTTTCTGCCCCCTTCCCACTTCCAACTATCAGCTGTCTGAGCTCTGCTAATCACAAGGGTGAGGTTCAACTGGTGAAAACATGTTGCAGTAAGAGGAATGTACCCTCTGACCTTTCTTCTTTTCTTTGCCGGCTGCTCTCACATAAAATTTCCATTGTTGCAAAGCCAGGAACCATTTTCCCCATCAGTGAATCCCACCCCAAGATTATGGTAAAAAAAAAAAAAAATTCAGCCAAGTTACCTTCGTGGAAAATGACTTTTCTGCAGTCTTTTGTGGAACTAATGAAGCCATGGCTTTCCCATTTCCTACAGTCTAGCCTCACTCCTGGGATCACCCATGCTATGTTGGACTTAAATGGCTTTCTGTTTTTGCCCTGTCTTGGCATGTGACTCTGAAAGCATTGCTGTGTACTGTAGATGGTCTCCAGCAATTCCCAGCCATTCTTTTGATGTATAAGAATGGTTTCTTTTGACTCCCACAGAGTACCCATTGAAAAAGGTCTGTTTCTTGTACTTATTCTTTGACAAGTGGATGACTGGCATCATACTCAATTGACTTTATGGGATTCACATTTAGGTAGCATTACTTAAGAAGGATGGGGGTGGGGGGAAATATACCTCCAAGTCATTCTTTGTTTTAGTAGATACTTATGCTATCACCGGGTTTACTCCGAGGTTCTACTCTGGTGCCATAACTAAGTAAATTAAACCCACTTATCCAGAGAGAATTCGGTCTAACACCAAAATGTTAATGTTTCTATCCTTTATAAGTGAGAGCCAAATTATTTTCCCTGGTGTGGTTTCAAAATTTTTCTGCAAAATGTGTTTTTGCTTCTTAATCATAAAATGTTAAACTGAAATATAAATGTATCTCTTGTAAAAATCACTGTCTATATCCAACTGAGATAAGAACAAAAAACAAATGGTCTGATCAATAGTTGTAAGATTCTGATTATATGAATAAAAGAAGAAAGATAGATGTTTTATAATATATACAATAAGGAGAAATAGTGAGAAATAATTTTACTAAAGAATCATTATCGGGACTTCCCTGCTGGCCCAGTGGTTAAGACTCTGAGCTCCCAATGGAGGGGGCCCAGGTTCGATCCCTGGTCAGGGAACTAGATCCCACATGCTGCAACTAAGACCTGGGGCAGCCAAATAAATGAATAAATAAAAAAATAAAAAAAAAAAGAATCATTATCCACTGAATTACCTTCGGCCCAGCTATCATAAGAATGAATTGTGGAGAAGGAAATGGTAACCCACTCCAGTACTCTTGCCTGGAGAATCCCAGGGATGGCAGAGCCTGGTGGGCTGCCATCTGTGGGGTTGCACAGAGTCGGACACGACTGAAGCGACTTAGCAGCAGCAGCAGCAGTCTGATAGAATGCTGTAGTAATTGAACTGCTGGTTGTTAACAGACAACATGAGCAGTGATTTGGAGGAAATTATTCATTTGTTACATCTTTGACTACAAACTTTACTGTCCAGTGAAATGATTAACTTATGCTGAACAGAAGACAATAATTGGAGATAGAAACAGTACCCATGTAATCTTTGGCTGATACTGTTTTCAGTCTGTTGTACCAAAATAATTCACAAAGATGGTTTCAGGTTGTCTCTTGTATACAAGGTCTGCATCATGAGATGACTGAACATTGATTTGTGAAATCTTCCCATGTGTTCCCTGCAGCCCAAAGCAAGTTCTCATTCGTGCTATGGTCCCTGCCTGGTTCTAGAGATTGATCCACTTCTGTTTTGAAATTTTGTAGATCCATGTAACTGAGGACCTGAGAGACAAAGATGACATCATAGAGTAACATGAATAGACATTCTAGATTTGATCATCTGAGCTCCTATGTACAGACTTTTTTTGCTCCAATTATTAGTTAGACTTTACATTTGGAGACTGTGGCTAAGTAGTAAAGTTTATATTTACTAAAGCAATAAAAATCATGTTTGCATATTTTAGCATGTTTAAAAAAAGAATGAATTGAATGGATTTTGACATTTATAACTAGACTTTAGTCTAAAAAATGACCTTATTCCTGAGCTAAGTATTCATTTAT